ATTTCTCCAAGGTTGGAGAAATATTTTTTTGGTGTTTATTGGGTAAGTACGGATCTCTTAACCCGCATCCATCGTTTGTATGAAATTGATGCAAATTTCGAAAACATATTAAAATATTAAGAATAATAGTTGGAATTGTTTTTTGCGACAAATGCGTATAGATCATTCAAGCATTTTTATTCTTATTATCAGAAAATGAATAAACGTTGATCATTAGATAATAAAAAATGAAAAAAAACCAACATTTCATTGAATACTAGGGTCTTTTTCCACAACGTACTTTGTGTTACAAAAAAATTCCGATGAATGCGGGTGAAGAAAGCGGTCAACAAATAAATTGCCATTAGGTCGTGTGTGTGAATAGTAGTCTCCATGGAATTTTTACATCTGATATTTCACAGTCTGCTGTTTCACTATTTCCTCACGAAATAATGGAACGGACATGGGTTGCCTTGTGCTCTTTATTAACAAAAAAACTTTAGAAACCCGTAGTACTTAAGACAATTTGGCTTAATACTTTTTTTTAGCATTTCTTGAGTTTTTTTATCTTTAGTTTTGACCGTTCTTGAGATCTGCGAACCACGCTTAAAACTTCAAAAGGGTTGCTGCTGTTATGGATTATCCTTGGATTCGCGACATTTTCTTCCATATAAAATACACGCGACTTTCTAGCGTCGTGAAATTTGCACTTTAACCTACTAAAATTTAGTGGGCTGTTAAACTGCACACCTAAAATTTTTCTAAAAATTCTGAATAAGAAGTTTAAAATTTTTGGGTGTAATTACACTGCTTTACAGCCAAAAAAATACCAAGAAATTCGGGTATAGGCGAGAATTAGTATAGACCTCCTGAGCTCAACACATACTTTTAAAAATTTTCAAAAAAACAACTAAAATACTTTTCCAACAACATACTTGTAGTGGTTGGAGTAAAACTCGCTGAGCTATAGCTGATCAAAGCCAAAATTGTTTAGTGTTTTTGCGATTTTTTTCAAAAATTTAGGTTTTAATAATAGTTTTTTTTTTTATAAGAAGCTGTAAAAATCAGGAATGTTTTATTTTTTTTTTGACTAGTCTGTTCAATATCAAACACTTTACCCCTAATATTACGAAGATCAATTGAAAATTTTATTTTTGACAATTTTTTTTCTGTAAGACTCAACATTTTAAATATACCTCATACGATTCAAATACTCAGGTGTACCTGGCGTATGAGGAACACTCTTTTCTGCTTATATTTCATACAAAAAATCCTTGCACATTTTTATTTGACCAATAATTACTTTCTTATGTATCAATCGATTTTCTTCATTGGTAGCTTAATTTATTTCTAAACGAGCAAGCTTTAACACCAGTGTAAAACATTTACATACACAGAAACTGTTACTTTTTAAATTTTTTCCCTGTTAAGGTTGGAATTTTTTCCATTTTTTCATCAAAAAAACAAAAAATCTGGATTGATTAATTGATTTCTCAGAAACTATCAATCCCAATAAACATTGGGCTTGGTCAACAATTCGAAAATGATTGGAAAACCAATATATTTTTCGAGTCTCACCTTCGATTACTAATGTGCAATAGGTTAGTATTCGATTCGAGAACTAAGCCATTCTCCAGCAAAACGGAACCTTCGTTATCCAATCTATTTTTCCTTCGTTATGAATTCGAAATCCAGCCCATTATCGAATTGAAATTTTAATAAGAGAGAGTGATTATCTTTTATTTCCCTTCGAAAATGGTTTTCATTATTTTTCTTCAAACCCATCTCGAATGTATTTCCAATACACTATGAACGTTGGAAAACTAAGGTTTGTTATGAGATCGTTCTCAGTTCGATATGCATATTGGATATCGAAGATCATTTTCGAACGTTCGCCAAAATGTTTATAGGGATGCTATCGAAAAGTGATGTACATAAGTATATATTCGAAACGTTTAAGCTGATGCCAGATAAAAGATGAAAATGCACATAACATGCCACACAGATCGTTGCAGCTGCAGCGCGAAGCAAAAAGATGGCCAACTCCCATCTCTTTTGGCGCGCGTTGACGATCAGCTAGTTTAATATTTATTTACATTGCTGATATTTTTAAAGCTAAAATATATAAAATCAACAGCAATTTTGACGAGTAAAAAAGCTGTACAAAATTGTTTTCTTGGCGTTCATTGTGGCATACGTTTTGCGTATGGCGCTTTGCTGGCAAAGTTTTAAATGTCACGCAAAGCTACAAAGTTTTATCTGGCATCAACTTTAGTGCTTTCGTTATTTATAACGCTGCGTAAAAATTATCGTAATCGATATTGCTTACTATTTTAAGTATTTTATTTTTTATTTTTTCTCTTCTACTTATCATCATTAAGACACCCTAAAGTACTGGGATGAGTTACAAATACTTCCAAACAAGAAGTTCCCCATCATTTTCGAAGCCGTTTATGGCAGGCTGGGCCAGTCAAAATCATCGCAAAGCTCGTACAATCAAGCAGAAGTTAATAAAGTCATTTGGCTTGTCCACAAATTACAAAAGCATGCCGATCTCAATCAAATCGGTATTATTTCACCTTACAGACTGCAATGCGCAAAAATTAAGGAGATATTGAATATCCGGAAATTGAAGGGCATCGAAGTGGGTACAGCTGAATTATTTCAAGGACGCGAAAAAGCAATTATTATAGTTTCGTTTGTGAAGTCATTTAGCCATTTGGGCTTTGTAACAGATCCACAGGTGTGTTTGTACACTAAGATGTCAGTTATAAAAATTAGAAATTGTTTCTCTGTAACTTTCTGATCTTATTTATGTAAATTCTCTGAAATAATTTGTATGCCTGACATATAGATTCGAATGTATTCTATACTATATATACTATACATGGATTTTACTAAGGTGTATTAAACAAGGTGTGATTGACTACTCAGTTAGGCTCTCTTTTAAGGTACTATTATGCCAAAAAATATAAACAATCGATTCAAAATTCATACAATATTTTTTCAATTTGACTTTATAGGATGGTTCTTCTCAGAGCAATGTCAAATTCAATCACACTTTGTTGAATACATTTTGGATTTTACCATGATAAAAAAATAGGAAGATAGAACCGCTGAGAGGAATTTTTCAAATTATTGACGTTTGCAAGCAATTTACATACACATATTCTCATTTTCAATCTCAAACAACAACAACTTTGAACAATTCCCTTTTTTTACACTCAATTTTATATGATTTTAAAATGTTGGCAACCTTAAAAAAAAAAATAATGGCCGACGATTAAGAGAACGGTTTTACCTTACTATGTTTTTTATCATGGATTTTACTATTTTCTTTTCACAGCGACTGAATGTAATACTATCTCGAGCACAGTCTCTACTTATACTTGTGGGAAATCCTGAAACTTTGAAGAGCAATGGTGATTTTGAGTACCTCATAGGTGAATGCAAACGGATGGAAACGTTCCACAAAATTAATTAGAATGTGAGTGTTTTTTTTTTTCAAGTTTTAAAAAGTATAATTTTTTTGTGCTCAATTATACTACTAGCCGTCGCTGATAATATTCTGGCCTATCTCTGAATCCATCGTAGTCCGATTTTCGTGAAATCTTTGAAAATGCAATCACTGAACCCGAATTGCTACAATCGTATGAAAAAACATAAAAATATAGTTCCCACACTTTGTGCAAATTCAGGAAATTTTCATGCAAATTTTCAAAATTTTAATCAGATTTTTTAGAATTTTTTTGAGTATGCAATTTTGCAGCCCATTAAATTCTAGTAAAAAAATGCAAGTTCGGAGTTAGTCAAAAATCGCATTGATTTTTGAGAATTTTTTGTTGAAGGTGTTTTGCATTTTTTCCATATACATAAAGTATTTTCGAAAAAATTTTTTTGTGTGGAAGAAACAGCGTGAAAAAAATTGCAAAAAATCAACGCTAATTCATAGCTACTTAAAACTTGTACTGTTTTATAATAAAATTGATTGGACTACAAATCTGCAAACTCAAAAAAATTTCAAAAATCTGATTAAATAGTTGAAAATTTCCATGAAAATTAGCTGCATTTTCGTGGGATTTGCACAAAGTTTAGGAATTATATTTTAATGTTTTTTTTTTTTTGTAGAATGAACCATATTTTAACAAAAAATTGGCGGAAAAATATTAGAAAAAATACTGTTGCATATATTTGGGAAAATTTGCTGTGTCAATACTTTTTGCCGGCAGTGTACATGCATTTATATGCATATCTACATAGTACATTTTATATAACAGCTGAGCTAAGGCAAGCGGGACTGCTGCAATCACAAACGGAATTTTTCTCATATTATTTAATTTTATCTGCTGAATCCGTTTTTTAAGAGAACTTTAAAAACGGTCCAGTGCTAAATCACTTTAATTATAACTTGAACTCAGAGTTAATGTTTTATGTATTCGTTTTGAATTTAAATTTTATTTACTAAATATAATCTCCTCCTGTTTTTTCTTCATTTTCTTATTTTTTTTTAGAAAAATGTACGAGTTCCTTAAATGGATGATTGGAAAACAAGTGCCTTGACAACTGCATCACCAGAATATTTATTTGAAGTATTTTTTTTTATTTCTGCTAAGCACAATGTACTTTGTATGTATGTATTTTATAAATTAATCTTTTATGTGTACATACATTCGTATGTATACATGTATGTCTAAGCAGCAAAATTTTAACGAATTCTTAAATTGCATATTGGTATGCATTTATATCTTTGCAAGTTGTTAGACTGAAGTATTAACTATAATAAAGAAATAAAGGATTTGTATTTACGATTTTTTAACATAATTTTATTTTATTTTTTAATTTACATACCTACGCCGCACAATGGGGCCGCTTCATACCAGTTGGTGCTCAAAAGTCTGTAACCGGATTTTTCCCCTAAAAACTACGAAGACTCATCTAAAACGGAAACAATATTATTTCATTATTTTGTGTACTAACACTGTTCAACAATTTTTTTTTCTTGTTATATTGAAAAATATGTAGATATTTAGAGAAAAACAATAAACCCAGATCATCCTTTATTTCCAATAAGTCACTTCGTGTTCTAAACACTTAAAAACTAATTCATTGTACATTGATAATTGTAATTATGGTAACGGGCCA